GTTATACCTGTAATGTGTAGGTTATACCTGTACAGTGTAGTTTGTACCTGTCCAGTGTAGTTTATACCTGTCCATTGTAGTTTATACCCGTGCAGTGTAGTTTATGCCTGTCCAGTGTAGTTTATACCCGTACAGTGGAGTTTATACCCATGCAGAGTAGTTTATACCTGTCCAGTGTAGTTTAGACCTGTCCAGTGTAGGTTATACCTGTAATGTGTAGGTTACACCTGTACAGTGTAGTTTGTACCTGTCCAGTGTAGTTTGTACCTGTCCATTGTAGTTTATACCCGTGCAGTGTAGTTTATGCCTGTCCAGTGTTGTTTATACCTGTACAGTGTAGTTTATACCTGTCCAGTGTAGTTTATACCTGTCCAGTGTAGTTTATACCTGTACAGTCTAGTTTATACCTGTCCAGTGTAGGTTATACCTGTCCAGTGTAGTTTATACCCGCCCAGTGTAGTTTATACCTGTCCATTGTAGTTTATACCTGTCCAGTGTAGGTTATACCTGTCCAGTGTAGTTTATACCTGTCCATTGTAGTTTATACCCATGCAGTGTAGTTTATACCTGTCCAGTGTTGTTTATACCTGTACAGTGTAGTTTATACCCGCCCAGTGTAGTTTATACCTGTCCATTGTAGTTTATACCTGTCCATTGTAGTTTATACCCATGCAGTGTTGTTTATACCTGTCCAGTGTAGTTTATACCTGTCCAGTGTAGGTTATACCTGTCCAGTGTAGTTTATACCTGTCCAGTGTAGTTTATACCTGTCCAGTGTAGTTTATACCTGTCCAGTGTAGTTTATACCTGTCCAGTGTAGTTTATACCTGTCCAGTGTAGTTTATACCTGTCCAGTGTAGTTTATACCTGTCCAGTGTAGTTTATACCTGTCCAGTGTAGTTTATACCTGTACAGTGTAGTTTATACCTGTCCAGTGTAGTTTATACCTGTCCAGTGTAGTTTATACCTGTCCAGTGTAGTTTATACCTGTCCAGTGTAGTTTATACCTGTCCAGTGTAGTTTATACCTGTCCAGTGTAGTTTATACCTGTCCAGTGTAGTTTATACCTGTCCAGTGTAGTTTATACCTGTCCAGTGTAGTTTATACCTGTCCAGTGTAGTTTATACCTGTCCAGTGTAGTTTATACCTGTCCAGTGTAGTTTATACCTGTCCAGTGTAGTTTATACCTGTCCAGTGTAGTTTATACCTGTCCAGTGTAGTTTATACCTGTATAGTGTAGTTTATACCCGTCCAGTGTAATTTATACCTGTCCAGTGTAGTTTATACCCGTCCAGTGTAGTTTATACGTGTCAAGTGTAGTTTATACCTGTCCAGTGTAGTTTAGACCTGTCCAGTGTAGTTTAGACCCGTCCAGTGTAGTTTATCCCTGTCCAGTGTAGTTTATACCTGTCCAGTGTAGGCTATACCGGTCCAGTGTAGTTTATACCTGTCCAGTGTAGTTTATACCCGTCCCGTGTAGTTTATACCTGTCAAGTGTAGTTTATACCTGTCCAGTGTAGTTTATACCTGTGCAGTGTAGTTTATACTTGTCCAGTGTAGTTTATACCTGCCCAGTCTAGTTTATACCCCTGCAGTATAGTTTATACCTGTCCAGTGTAGTTATACCTGAGCAGTGTAGTTTTTACCCCAACAGTGCAGCTTATAGCTGTCCAGTGTAGTTTATACCCGTCCCGTGTAGTTTATACCTGTCAAGTGTAGTTTATTCCTGTCCAGTGTAGGCTATACCGGTCCAGTGTAGTTTATACCTGTCCAGTGTAGTTTATACCCGTCCAGTGTAGTTTATACCTGTCCAGTGTAGTTTATTCCTGTCCAGTGTAGTTTATACCTGTGCTGTGTAGTTTATACTTGTCCAGTGTAGTTTATACCTGTCCAGTGTAGTTTATACCCGTCCAGTGTAGTTTATACTTGTCCAGTGTAGTTTATACCTGTCCAGTGTAGTTTATACCCATGCAGTGTAGTTTATACCTGTCCAGTGTAGTTTATACCTGTCCATCGTAGTTTATACCCATGCAGTGTAGTTATACCTGTGCAGTGTAGTTTATACCCGTCCAGTGTAGTTTATACCTGTCCATTGTAGTTTATACCTGTCCATTGTAGTTTATACCTGTCCATTGTAGTTTATACCCGTCCAGTGTAGTTTATACCTGTACAGTGTAGTTTATACCCCTGCAGTGTAGTTTATACCCGTCAAATGTAGTTTATACCTGTCAAGTGTAGTTTATACCCATGCAGTGTAGTTTATACCTGTCGAGTGTAGTTTATACCTGTCCAGTGTAGTTTATCCCTGTCCATTGTAGTTTATACCCGTCCAGTGTAGTTTATACCTGTACAGTGTAGTTTATCCCCCTGCAGAGTAGTTCATATCTGTCCAGTTTAGGCTATACCTGTCCAGTGTAGTTTATACCTGTCCATCGTAGTTTATACACGTACAGTGTAGTTTATACCTGTCCAGTGTATTTTATACCCGTCCAGTGTAGTTTATACCTGTCTAGTGTGGTTTATACCTGTCCAGTGTAGTTTATACCCGTACAGTGGAGTTTATACCCATGCAGTGTAGTTTATACCTGTCGAGTGTAGTTTATACCTGTCCAGTGTAGTTTATTCCTGTCCAGTGTAGTTTATACCTGCCCAGTGTAGTTGATACCCCTGCAGTATAGTTTATACCTGTCCAGTGTAGGGTATACCTGTCCATTGTAGTTTATACCTGTCCAGTGTAGTTTATACCGGTACAGTGTAGTTTATACCCCTGCAGTGTAGTTTATACCTGTCCAGTGTAGGTTATACCTGTCCAGAGTAGGTTATACCTGTGCAGTGTAGTTTATACCTGTCCAGTGTAGTTCATACCTGTCCATCGTAGTTTATACCCATGCAGTGTAGTTATACCTGTGCATACCCCTGCAGTGTAGTTTATACCTGTCCAGTGTAGGTTATACCTGTCCAGAGTAGGTTATACCTGTGCAGTGTAGTTTATACCTGTCCAGTGTAGTTTATACCCGTCCAGTGTAGTTTATACCTGTACAGTGTAGTTTATACCCCTGCAGAGTAGTTCATATCTGTCCAGTTTAGGTTATACCTGTCCAGTGTAGTTTATACCTGTCCAGTGTAGTTTATACCTGCCCAGTGTAGTTTATACCCCTGCAGTATAGTTTATACCTGTCCAGTGTAGGTTATACCTGTCCATTGTAGTTTATACCTGTCCAGTGTAGTTTATACCCCTGCAGTGTAGTTTATACCTGTCCAGTGTAGTTTATACATGTCCAGTGTAGTTTATACCTGTCCAGTGTAGTTTATACCTGTACAGTGTAGTTTATACCCCTGCAGTGTAGTTTATACCCGTCAAATGTAGTTTATTCCTGTCCAGTGTAGTTTATACATGTCCAGTGTAGTTTATACCTGTCCAGTGTAGTTTATACCCGTACAGTGTAGTTTATACCCGTCCAGTGTAGTTTATACCCGTCAAATGTAGTTTATACCTGTCCAGTGTTGTTTATACCTGTACAGTGTAGCTTATACCCCTGCAGTGTAGTTTATTCCCGTCCAGTGTAGTTTATACCTTTTATACCCGTCCAGTGTAGTTTGTACCCGTACAGTGTAGTTTATACCTGCCCAGTGTAGTTTATACCTGTCCAGTGTAGTTTATACCCGTCCAGTGTAGTTTATACCTGTCCAGTGTTGTTTATACCCGTCTAGTGTAGTTTATACCTGTCCATTGTAGTTTATACCCGTCCAGTATAGTTTATACCCGTGCAGTGTAGTTTATATCTGTCCAGTGTAGTTTATACCTGTCCAGTGTAGTTTATACCTGTCCAGTGTAGGTTATACCTGTCCAGAGTAGGTTATACCTGTGCAGTGTAGTTTATACCTGTCCAGTGTAGTTTATACCTGTCCAGTGTAGTTTATACATGTCCAATGTAGTTTATACCTGTCCAGTGTAGGTTATACCTGTCCAGTGTAGTTTATACATGTCCAATGTAGTTTATACCTGTCCAGTGTAGGTTATACCCGTCCAGTGTAGTTTATACCTGTCCAGTGTAGTTTATACCTGTCCAGTGTATCTACCTGGAGATACTCGGTGACTTTAACACTGTACCAAACTACTACATAGTTTAAGTGATTGGCATGTGACCCAGTCACCGTGTGATAATTAATGGTGGTGGATTCAGATAGATCTGGGGGAATCTGGCGATGAGATCTGAGGTGGATTACTTTTAACATGTTCTCAAAAATAAAATGACAAGCTGTGAAAGTTTCATAAAATTCTCCTGGATATGTCAATAGTATGTATCTCTTATAATATGTCACTTAAGAACAATAATGCATGTCAATTACTTTCTGATTTCTTGTGATGTTAATTAGGGCTTAGCATCAGAGACGCAGGTGCCCTATAGTAATCACTGTGTCCGTCTGTCCGTCCGTACACACCATTGTTTTGGAAGATTATCTCAGAATCCCAAAGATGATCCTTTTTGAAATTTGAAGTGTTTATACACTATGATATGTATAGGTATGCAAATAGGGATTAAAAGAAAATTTGAAGGTCAAGGTCAATATTTTGTATGTTTTGATACTAAAGCACCATGTAGTACATAAGAAAATGTAGATCATAATCACAGGCTGGACAGTTGGATGGCAAGCTCATGTCAAAGGTGTGGTACTCTCAGATTGACCAGTTCACTGGTGTCAGATTGAACAGTACACTGGTGTCAGATTGAACAGTACACTGGTGTCAGATTGAGGTTCATGCATGTCAGATGAAATGTGATGAACCTTTTCACTGGCGTCAGATTGGGGGTTCACTGGTGTCAGATAAAATGTGATGAACCTTTTCACTCCTAAGTTATCTAGTCATTGTTGATTATGTGGTTTCAATTATTTTGTTCAATACCAACGAAACATAATGGTTTTCAAACAAATATTTGAATATCCTTTTACAAATTGTGAACTTGGATGTAATTAATTATAATACTTCATGGTTACAGGGCGCTAAAGGTTCGGTCATCTATGATGCCTGTGTGGATACAGATGGTCTTCAGGTGACTGTCGAAGAGTAAGGCGTAGTTACCATGGATACAGAGGGCCTTCAGGTGACTGTTGAGGAGTAAGGAGCAGTTACCATGGATACAGGGGCCTTCAGGTGACTGTCGAGGAGTAAGGAGCATTTACCATGGATACAGAGTGCCTTCAGGTGACTGGCGAGGAGTAAGAAGCGATCACCATGGCTACAGTGGGCCTTCAGGTGACTGTCGAGGAGTAAGGCGCAGTTACCATGGATACAGAGGGCCTTCATGTGACTTTCAGGAGTAAGGCGCAGTTACCATGGATACAGAGGGCCTTCAGGTGACTGATGAGGAGTAAGGAGCAGTTACCATGGATACAGGGGCCTTCAGGTGACTGTTGAGGAGTAAGGAGCGATCACCATGGATACAGAAGGCCTTCAGGTAACTGTTGAGGAGTAAGGAGCGATCACCATGGATACAGAAGGCCTTCAGGTAACTGTTGAGGAGTAAGGAGCGATCACCATGGATACAGAAGGCCTTCAGGTAACTGTTGAGGAGTAAGGAGCGATCACCATGGATACAGAAGGCCTTCAGGTAACTGTTGAGGAGTAAGGAGCGATCACCATGGATACAGAAGGCCTTCAGGTAACTGTTGAGGAGTAAGGAGCGATCACCATGGATACAGAAGGCCTTCAGGTAACTGTTGAGGAGTAAGGAGCGATCACCATGGATACAGAAGGCCTTCAGGTAACTGTTGAGGAGTAAGGAGCGATCACCATGGATACAGAAGGCCTTCAGGTAACTGTTGAGGAGTAAGGAGCGATCACCATGGATACAGAAGGCCTTCAGGTAACTGTTGAGGAGTAAGGAGCGATCACCATGGATACAGAGGGCCTTCAGGTGACTGATGAGGAGTAAGGAGCGATCACCATGGATACAGAAGGCGTTCAGGTAACTGTTGAGGGGTAAGGAGCGATCACCCTGGATACAGAGGGCCCTCAGGTGACTGTTGAGGGGTAAGGAGCGATCACAATGGATACAGGGGCCTTCCGGTAAGTGTTGAGGAGTAAGGTGCAGTTACCATGGATACAGAAGGCCTTCAGATGACTGTTGAGGAGAAAGGAGCGATCACCGTGGATACAGAGGGCCTCCAGGTGACTGTCGAGGAGCAAGGAGCGATCACCATAGCTACAGTGGGCGTTCAGGTGACTGTTGAGGAGTAAGGAGCAGTTACCATGGATACAGAGGGCCTTCAGGTGACTGTCGAGGAGTAAGGAGCGATCACCATGGATACAGAGGGCCTTCAGGTAACTGTTGAGGAGTAAGGAGCGATCACCATGGATACAGGGGCCTTCAGGTAACTGTTGAGGAGTAAGGAGCGATCACCATAGCTACAGTGGGCGTTCAGGTGACTGTTGAGGAGTGAGGAAACAGTTACCAAGGATACAGATGGAGTTTTTGCGACTTTCCAGGAGGGAGACAATCATTATAGATAGAGAGACTGAATGTGACTGACTTATTGTTGATGTGTGAGGTGACAATCACCATGGATACGAGGAATTTAGCTGACTGCCATGTTGTCAGGAGGTGGAAGGCCTCAGCTTTTGTATGGCTGTCAGACAATGTGTTAGACAGTCTGGTAGTGGTCAGATGTCCTGTTTATGTATTCATGTTAACACTACTACTTGATTATTCGTTACGTTATAAAGCTGGCTAGTCCAGCCACCACTGTTTCGGTTGTCTCACTGTACAGCTAATGTTTTAAGGGACAGCTGTTTTCTATACAAGGATGTCATATATTACAGCCCTCTCACAATCCAGACATTTTAGACCAGGAGTGGCTGGTTTATTGGGCGTTCATTGTACATATGTTATAACATTGAGAATATTGGGACAAATCTTAGATTATGCATTCAAGGAAAGGAGACAGTGACATTTTTTTAGTAGAATTACAGCGACGACATTGTAATTGAAGTCATTTTAAGAACTCAGAGTTATATATAATTCGTCTTTGTCCATTGTGATCACCAATACATGGTTTGTAACCCTGGGTCAGGACTTAGGATGATGCCAGTCAGTCCTTTACCTGTTTTATAGCCATAATGAGCACTGCCATTCAGTCCTTTACTTGTTTTATAGCCATAATGAGCACTGCCAGACAGTCCTTTACCTGTTTTATAGCCAGGATGAGCACTGCCAGACAGTCCTTTACCTGTTTTATAGCCAGGATGAGCACTGATAGTCAGTCCTTTACCTGTTTTATAGCCAGGATGAGCACTGCCAGCCTGTCCTTTACCTGTTTTATAGCCAGGATGAGCACTGCCAGTCAGTCCTTTACCTCTTTTATAGCCAGGATAAGCCCTGCCAGACAGTCCTTTACCTGTTTTTATAGCCAGGATGAGCCCTGCCAGACAGTCCTTTACCTGTTTTATAGCCAGGATGAGCACTAACAGTCAGTACTTTACCTGTTTTATAGCCAGGATGAGCCCTGCCAGACAGTCCTTTACCTGTTGTATAGCCAGGATGAGCACTGCCAGACAGTCCTCTACCTGTTTTATAGCCGAAGCAGGAGTATATTCTGTACTTTTTTGCAAGGCTGTAAGGTGATTTATTACATACTTACTAACAAATACGGGTTTTTTGTATATGTGATACGACACAATTGCTCTAACCCAAATCAGCCTTTGCCGTATCACACCCCAAAACCCGTATCAGCCCCCGCCGTATCACACCCCAAAACCTGTATCAGCCCCCGCCGTATTACACCCTAAACCTGTATCAGCCCGCAAAACCCATATCACACCCCTTTTGGAAAAAAAAAGTTTTTCAATATTTCAAAAATAAAAATAAATCATAAGATAGTAGTTTTTATTAGTAAGTATATAATAAACAGAATAAAACACACCTTTTTCCATATTACACCCAGTATCAACCCGAGACTGCAATATCAGCCCAAGGGCCGAAGGCCCGAGGACTGATATTGGTTGAGGGTTGATACTGGGTGTGATATGGAAAAAGGCATGTATTATTCTCTATGTAATACATTGTTTTATGCTTTATTCATAAAAAGGCTAAACCATCGTGTAAATAAAGGTAGAATACCAACCATTTAGTGTTGAGAATGTTGGATGTGTTTAAAATATACATATAAATAACTGCATATTTTTAAGTTATGGTTAGTGAAAAATTTGAATAATATAATATTTATGAAAGAATTTTCCATCAGTTCAATCAATGGAAAAATGGGTGTGTAATCTGTCATCCCAGGTCAACCTCTAGAAGAGACACTTGGAAAGGTGATTCTTGTTACATTGTTAATTGTATGTATCGTTTATGGAACTGCATGCATGTGGGAATTCTCCGAATATATGCTTTATATGGTGTTGGTTGTCCTCAATATATGGGTGTTTGTCATTAACATGTGTGTGGGATATTTTAAATATTTGTGGGATATTATAAATATGTATTGTACTATGACCTGTTGAACATTGTTTTCCCTGGTAATATGTCCAGATTACTCTTAAATAATACTGCTAGTTTAACCCGAGTGCTGTGTGATAATACTGGTTGTTCACCCTGAGTACTCAGGGGTAATACTGGTTGTTCACCCTGAGTACTCTGTGATAATACTGGTTGTTCACCCTGAGTACTCAGGGGTAATACTGGTTGTTCACCCTGAGTACTCTGTGATAATACTGGTTGTTCACCCTGAGTACTCAGGGGTAATACTGGTTGTTCACCCTGAGTACTCTGTGATAATACTGGTAGTTCACCCTGGGTGCTGTGTGATAATACTGGTTGTTCACCCTGAGTCCTCAGTGGTAATACTGGTTGTTCACCCTGAGTACTCTGTGGTAATACTGGTTGTTCCCCCTCAGTACTCTGTGGTAATACTGGTTGTTCCCCCTCAGTACTCTGTGGTAATACTGGTTGTTCACCTTGAGTGCTGTTCGATAACACAGGTTGTTCACTGTGAGTACATTGTGATTATACTGGTTGTTCACCCTGAGTACGTAGTTTACCCTGAGTACTCTGTGGTAATACTGGTTGTTCACCCTCAGTGCTCTGTGGTAATACTGGTTGTTCCCCCTGAGTGCTGTTCGATAACACAGGTTGTTCACTGTGAGTACTTTGTGATTATACTGGTTGTTCACCCCGACGACGAAGTTTACCCTGAGTACTCTGTGGTAATACTGGTTGTTCCCCCTCAGTACTCTGTGGTAATACTGGTTGTTCCCCCTCAGTACTCTGTGGTAATACTGGTTGTTCCCCCTCAGTACTCTGTGGTAATACTGGTTGTTCCCCCTCAGTACTCTGTGGTAATACTGGTTGTTCCCCCTCAGTACTCTGTGGTAATACTGGTTGTTCACCCTCAGTACTCTGTGGTAATACTGGTTGTTCACCCTCAGTACTCTGTGGTAATACTGGTTGTTCACCCTGAGTACTCAGTGGTAATACTGGTTGTTCACCCTGAGTACTCTGTGGTAGTACTGGTTGTTCACCCTGAGTACTCTGTGGTAGTACTGGTTTTTCACCTTGAGTACTCTGTGGTAGTACTGGTTGTTCACCCTGAGTACTCAGTGCTAATACTGGTTGTTCACCCTGAGTACTCAGTGGTAATACTGGTTGTTCACCCCGAGTACTCTGTGGTAATACTGGTTGTTCACCCTGGGTACTCTGTGGTAGTACTGGTTGTTCACCCTGAGTACTCTGGTAATACTGGTTGTTACTCTGTGGTAGTACTGGTTGTTCACCCTGAGTACTCTGGTAATACTGGTTGTTACTCTGTGGTAGTACTGGTTGTTTACCAACAATGTATCCAGATAAATTATATAGTCCTAAACACAAATCATTTCGTCTAAAGATGGCTATTTTTTTACTGAAAATTTTAATCATGTTTTGGTTTTCTAAGACCAGTATTTTATTTATTTGTTAGTGTAAACAGTTCAGACTGGAATAAAGCTTGTTGTATGATTTTACTGTAGTGAGTAGGATTCCTGGTGCCCAGTGTACAAGACAATCTCTACATACCTGGTAATTATATAATGTTCCTTGCTTTATCTGAAACCTTGCTT